GGAAATCTTGGCAGATTTCAAAGCCGCGGATATCATTAAATTATCAGAAAACTTTCAACTTCGACTGGAAACGACTCACCAAAATCTGAAATATCGGTTGAGTACCCTGTCCCTTGAGATTATTTGGGTTACGGAAAGGTGTATAGAGATCGATATTCAAGTATTTGTCTGTTCGACTTTTTTTCAGGTTGCAGGAACTCGTACGTTGAACGGCACATAACTTCGAAAATAACCATTTACTTACTTAAGAGTTATAGTTGGTTTAACTTTGGGCCGTCATCAGAAGATATTTGCTAGAGCAAGTCGTAAGGAAAACAAACTCCAATGCAAAATCTTTTTGCGATCAACGATTTCCATAACTGTTTGCTTGCGAACATGGATGACTAAGCAGCATTTCAGAAAGAGACTAACAAAGATAAGAGGTGGAAGCTTCGAAAAGCCGTATCCTTCGACTCAAACCATATCCCCTTATATCGGATAAAGTAGACTCTGTAAAATGAGATGGATCTCCAGAGTGTATTAGTTGGTTATATAAGGTGTTGGTTAGTTAGTTATATTGGACGTGGGACTAAGTCAAGTAACCCTAAGCAAATCTATGCTGTTAGCAGTATTACTTCAGTGGATTTGACAGGGACTTCAACGTGCACTTTTTATATCCATATTTGTTACATACCGCGGAAGGATGTCAGCAATTTGGAAAAAAGAACACCCAAAAAGTACAAAGGAAATATCAAAAAACTATCTAGATGGGTGGACTATTTCGTGCATGAACAGAATTTTGAGAAATACACACGTGTGCTGCAGGGGAAGTAGTATGATCTCCGGTCTACGAGTGTTTTGTGAATGTCAGTATGGCTGTGCGAAGAGATGATGACATGACCAAATTCAGTTAAAATAAATAATGTTACTTAAATAAAATAAATAGCAATATAAACGTCAACTAACCCTCTCAACGTAGAGGCGACGCTTTCACCATTCGAGGACTGCGAGTTGGCTGGCGAAGTCACACGCGAGCCGACCAGTGTGGAGTCAGACCTTGCGGAACTCACTGAGCTGCTGTCGATGGAAGCCGGCGAGCGAGAGCTGCCAGTTGACGAGGGATTGGTAGAGGTGAGTCCGCTGCGTTGGGATCGCGCGGAGGTCGGAAATCCGGCCGCGGATAGGTAGATTTGAGCCCGCTCCTGCGCCAGCTCATTGGCCTCTGCTTTGATGCCACGAAAGATGAGGGCCACCAGGTTGTCGAACAGCTCCCCGATTAACCGCGCCTGGCAATGCATAAAACGACTTCGAAATTCATAGGAAACAAATCGCTGCAGTTGACGTTGCTGACACGTGTTCGTTCGGTCAGAATTGAACCTTATTGGCGGTTTATTGGTGGAATTAATAATTATCGGTCATGACGCACTGTAGTAACACAAAAGTCATGCCCTGAAAATGTTTGTTAACCATTTATAACACAGCCACAAATGGCTGCACCCACCAGTAATTCAAAAAGGTTTGCTCCCTAGTGACATTTAAATTTGATGTACTAGACCAAAATCTTTTAATAATTCACCAGTAGCGATTTTCTTCACTGAAAGTTGATCGAAGATGGCACGTGTTATGTTTCTTATT